ACGGCGGGAGGAGGATAAGAGCTAGGATAGGAAGTGAAGATAAGACAGTGATGCTCAGTCTAGGAAGGGGGCGAAGAGGGAGTAAAGTCTGAAAACCACAACAGAATCTACAATTTACATTTCTGTACAACAAAAAAAAAACTAATGTGTTCAATCTGTGAGGTTCCAGTGCTGCTTGCTGAGGGTGAGTTACAGTCTGACCTCTCCTGCAGGGCTACTAATGGTCCGCTATCAGCTGTCAGACTGGGTTTGTGCTGGAGGGCTGAAACGCGGTAGGGGGGAGTTAGGGGGGAAAGAAAGGGGGCGGGTCGTGTCACCTCCTCCTGGTCCAACATCTGTTCATTCAGCTTCTCCACTAACTGGGACTGCTGGTTGATCTCATCGTCCTGAAGGAAGGGAAGGATAGTGGAAAGGAGAGAGGTAAAGACACATATAATCCAACAGTCATTTGTATTCAGTGCAAGCACCATCAATACTGAACAGCAGCCAACTACGCCACCTGCTGGCCATAAGAAATACTACACCAAGCTTTAGATCAGATGTAAGAGTATGAATAGTAGAGACAAATTTTGTTAATGCTAGCAAAATCAGCAACATTTAAATATCAAATATTGTGTATAACATTATTTTATTATTTATAATATCTTAATAGTAATTTCTATATTATTAGTAAGTCAGTAATAAATGTGAGACGATCTGGCTTTGGAGTTTGATTGTGACATTTTGCATGGACACCAGACACTATTCAGGTGAAATTTTAATTTTGTAAATCCTTTATGTGAAGCAGATTTTAACAACAAGCTGAGAATGTACACTGCCATTAGCTGTTCAACCAGGCTACACTTTTCTTGTCGTTGGAGGATTCTAAAAGATTTCTGTTGGCAATGTAATTTTCTATGTAATAAGTTATATTCTTCTCTCACAAATGTTCAGCTTTTTTTCAACAAAAACTCTCAGCTATGAAGGCTGAACTCAAGTCCTTAACTTTGTACTTGGTAAACAAGTCACAATGTATCCTTCACCAAATTTAATGTCATTTAAAACCTTTACACTTTTTTCAACAACAACAACAGTTTTTATGTCAGTTTAGACCAGCAGACACTTTACATATTCATTAAAACAGATGGAGGAAGTTTTGCCTGTTTCTTTCCTCTCAGTATCATTTTACTAAGTGGTTGTTGTTGTAACACTCATTTCGGCTACAAGAGGCTGAAATTCACCACAACATCATGTTCTGAATGAGACTAAATGCATTCATGTTTCCTTCCAAATGAGTTCTAATTTGTTGATGCACACTAAACAGTCCATATTGTGTGGTATGTGACATTAGTGACATGCCTTTCTTTTGGCTAGAAATGTATTTTAATCAGCGCTAAGAGAAAGGAAAACTTACTTGGAAGGAAGCATGAATGCTGTTATGTATTAATGCATTATCGTGCTTGACTCTGATGCACTGACCAATTCATTCGAGAGCAGTGATACTTTTCTTACCTGACCAATCAAACCACGCTACAGGGATGAACATTTAAGTGGGTCAATACACTGCTAAAATCATGCTTGATGTGTGTACATCATAAATATGTACAAAAAGCTTAGACTTTCTGAGAGGTCTCAGTGGATGTGAACCAAACAGTGTATAGTGGATCTTCCCTCACCTTGTCATCCAGCTCTTTGTAGAGCTTGGCCATCTCTGCCTCATACTTCTCTTTCTCTGCGTCTGTGAGTTTGACTCCAGGGAGTGTGCTGAGGGCAGGTTTAGCTGGTGTCTTATCATTGTTGAGTGCGCTGTCCAGGGCCTGCACCTCTGCTTTGGCCTTCTCTTTATCAAACTGTTCCTCCGCCGGTACACTCTCTCCTGCAGGGGGCGGCAGAAAAAGACGTCAGTTCCAGTCTCTGTGATGCGTGTCTGTCGCTCCCTCAATCAAACCATTGTGTTAAGAGGAACACCTGTGATAACTCTAGATTTCTCATGTCTTTATATCAGTGTAAGGCAGACATGACCATGCATATTTTTGAAGAGAACCACACCAGTATTCTTAATGGCCTTGCTAATATAGAAACAAAGGGTTCTTTCTTTAGCCATGTCCTTTTCAAGCCCAAAATAGAACCAGTGTGTGATTCAGATCTAACAAACTAAGACAAGGATACTTTGGAGCTTAACTTTTTTCATCTCTTTCAAACCATTATAAACGGACTGATCATCTTTCATTTACATAAACATATGGAAGATTCCTACACTGCATTCCTATTAATGTCAGGCCTTCGTTGAACAGTTCTTGCTTCCTGTTCCTGCTGGGATAGGGACAGGAGCTGACAAATATAAAATATATGTGCTTTGAACAAGTAGGCCAAATTATCCCCACTAGAGCCTTCCTAAGTCCTGCCCCTTTTTGCTCTGTGCTCCAATAACAGAAACCTCCATCTTCTTTCTTCTTTCCTGTATATGCTATGTGCTAGGCTTGTTGAAAAGACAACCACATTTTGAAGATATCGAGCTAGCTAACGATTGACGTAATGCTAGCTAGTTACATCTGAAAGTTGTAATGTAATGTTAGCAAAATGCTAGCTAACCAGCTGGCTAATTTACATCATTCATTAGTTAGCTAGTTAGCTAAGTAGTTGCTAATATTAGCTAACTTATGATGTAGTATATATCGCTTTTATCTTATAACCATCTTCAAAATGCAAAAAGGAGATAGCACACATCCACTTTAAATGGCCAAGGTTCTGCCGGCTATCAAGCTTGCTCAACAGCACAGAGCAAAAAGGGGCAGAACCTAGGAGGGGTCAATGTATCCAGTGTGTAGGATTTAGTGGCATCTAGTGGTGTAGTTGCAGATTGAAGCTCCATTTCCAAGCACGAGGGAGAAACACAGTAACAAATCTAGAACTGGTGTTTGGTTTGTCTGTTCTAGGCTACTGTAGAAACACGCTGGGCTCCACGAAAAGGTGACCCGCAGCATTTATAGATTAAAAAAACACTCAATCTAAGGTAACAAAAACACAATGATTCTTATTTTCAAGTAATTATACACCCATGAAAACATTTCTATGAATATTATATTCCATTTTAATCAATAGATCCTCCTAAATATTATATAATTGACCTTTAAAACATATCCCCAAAATGAGTACAGTATCATATCAGGACAATATCACGTGCCTCTGTTTTTTACACTGAGTCATAATGTAGCATTATGTAGCTTCTATAAATGTGACAGGGTGGTCCTCACCGCTCCTCCAGCGGTTGAGCTCGGTCTCCAGCCAGGTGACGGTGTTCTTTAGTGTCTTGTTCTTCTCCTTCTCTTTCTCCCACTTGCTCTTCCACTGCTCCGCAGTCAGCTCCACATTCAGACACACTGTGTTCTTGACAGTCTTGGCCCTGGTGAGACAGGAAAGTGAGAAAAATATCAGCAACCCAGCATAGACTGGTTTCAGTGCACCACCAACTGATGGGCTGCAGTTTCACTCTCTTTGTTTTTCCTGTTTTTATCAGGCAAGAGATACCTCAACCCATATGTTTGTTCAAACTTATATACAAGCATTGTACAGTACCGTATGTGTTTTCTACCTTGCCAGGAGCTTTTCCAGGAGGCTGTTAAAGGAAAATTTTTGGGAATCTTTGCTTCATTTCCTAAGGTTAGATGAGAATCAATAGCACTCTTATTGCTGCATGCTAAATCTGAAGCCAGCAAGTAGTTAGCTTAGCGCAGTAAAATGAAAGTGGAATCAGGGGACAAAAAGAAAGCCTGGCTAGTCTTTAAAAAGCACAGTGGGTCATTCTCCTCTGTGATCTCACTGATGCACAAACAAGAGCATGATCCCTCACTGGCTTCTCTCGTACACAGGCCAGGCCTTTGTCTGATTTACATCAAATATAGTTTCTCTGTCAGTTATAAATGTCTGTGTTTCCACTATCAGTAACATTTATTTATTACCGTTTTTATCACCACATCCCCGGGCTCATGTTACCTTACATGAATATGATTCCCATGATTTCCATGCAGTGTGGTATACAGATTTTATCGGTACTCAGTGTGTGTGTGTGTGTGTGTCTGTGTTTACCTCTGTCCAAATAGCAGCGTTGACCTGGTCTCAGAGTCATTGAAAGCGGAGGGCGAGCAGCAGATGACCATGGTGGTCCGACAGTTCCCTCCCAGAGAGTCCTGCAGGATCCTGGTCATCTTACTGTCTCTGTATGGTACATAGCTCTGACAGAGGAAACAAGTTCCGCAGGGTACACATGGAGAACATTTATTAACAGCACTGGAATATTTTCCATATTTAATTTTAAGTAGGCTGTGTTTGTTGAGTAAGTCCATCATTTTTAGATTACACATTATTATCACTCATATACATTACCAACCCTCATTAAAATTGATATGTTTCCATCCATTGAACTAATTATAAACCCTTTAATCCCATTAACACCCTCATTAACAGTTGTGATGGTCCCTCTGAACATCCCTCAGGAAGTGCTGACTCACTCACCGAGCCCTCTGCCAGAGCTGAGATAACAATTCCCAGTGAAGACAGGGACTTGTTGATCATCTTGGCTTCATCCAGCACTGTCCCCTCTGCTCCAGTTTTACCCACCTATTACACGCAAACACAGAAAGGTTCTCATAATGAGACTGGAACCAGACATCAGAAACAGAGGATTACTCTGTAACATTATAACTGGTCACAATCTGGTCCAAAAGCACAGTAAGAAAGATGATGGGGAGGCCTAATGATCATTGAATAACAACAGGATGCAAAAGGAGATTAATAAAAGAAGGCTGACAAACATCCCTGGCTCATTAACACCTCATACTGTTGGATAGATTACTGTAGTTGCTCCCTGCTGACAGGAAGCAGAGGCAGCAGTTTGTCATTAAAGTTTCATTACATAACCAGCCAGTCAATAGAGGTGAGCAAACTGTGCCTTCAGGAGCAATGAAGATTAAAAGATCAAAGAAGTAATTCCAATGCCTGGTCCCTGCTGTAACTGTGAATAGAAAAACTACTCAAAAACGACTCTTTAACTATATTACTGGTCTAAGGCTTAGAAGCAAAGTATAGGAGACAAATGTAGATGTGGAAACGGTGGAAGCTACAGAGACAGAGAGGTGGAGGACGAGGGCGGGGTAGAAACACACTTTCTCACTGCCAGCCAGGTCCACCAGGTACAGCTTGCCGGTGAGTTTCTGCTCAGTCTGAGTGTTTTCCTGCTTGATGTTGATGAGGAAGATGCTGTGACTCCTGGAACTGTGCTCATTCATGTCTGACACACACAAACAACCACACAACATACAGACACATAATTAACATTGTGCTAATCGTACATCGTACTAGTATCATTTATTATTATGATTATATATAATAATAATCATAATAATAATAAGTATGTATAGTATATGTAATTTCTGCCACTAGGGGTCTCTCACATCAAAACAATAACACAAAATGTAATTTGATGGTGTTGCAAAGTACCATGGGATCATGGGAGGTTTTATCTTGACCTATACCTACCTGCTATAAAAAATAAAATTGAATTGAAACTATAACTATAAGTAACTATGAAAGTTATCCTGTATATATGATAAGAAATAGCTATTTATACACAACACGTAAATTATTTTGGGTGATTTATTCTATTGCCTATTGATAGATAAGGTACTTTTAATTGTAGACAATATTAGATTCAAAAAGTAAACTGCAATCAAGTTGTGAAATCAAAGAGAATCCGAAGACGCACCAAAGAGTAAAAGATTAAGTCTGGTTTAGCCTCATTAAGCCAAGTGTCCAGGATTACAAAGACGTATTGACATCACATAGTGTGTATTATTTAATTCATGCCTATTTTCACTTCACTTCTCTTTCCTGGTTGAGTGGGTAGAACAGACTCAGTGTCTTGGCTGATGGGAGTCTTGCTGCAGTCAGGAGACTCGGTGAGGTTGAACCCATGAGAGGCAGCCACACTGAAGGCACTCAGTGTATGAACTCACTTGTGACAGCCACGCTGCGGTTGTTTTTGCCTTCCTCTATGGTGTCCATGACCTCGTTAGGACTGCACACAAAACGCTCGGTACACCCCTGGGGACACAGGGCAATCACAAGGAAACGCTGTGTTCAACAGCCCCGCAGAGGGCCGGCTTTACAGAGAGACAATTATTAGCCAAGGAGACCATGACATACAGTAGTTATGAGGAGAGAGGGTTCTTATTACTTACTTTTCTTAGTATTATTAATATATCTCTTTCTTCCCCCATCTAAGTATATAAAACCTATAGCTGAGAATTATACGAAAGATAAAAAATCCTATTGACTGACTGTAAAAGTCTGTATTAAATAGGTTATGTAACGTATACTCTCATCGTTCAGATCACAGTTGTGCCATTTTTGTTTTGATCATAGTCTCTAACAGTATGTCATTCATAGCTAATGCATTACAACCGGCTGGGACAAACCTGTGACTGAGTGATAAAAAAAATCAATGCTGCACCTTAAATAACATTTCTCAACATTAAAACAACCCCTCCACGTGTCTCACCTTGACATAGGGCACCCTGTTTTTGTCCTCATGTACGGAAAGGTTGGTCTTTGTTACTGTGGAGGAGAAAGAAAGCAAACATCACGTCTGAATGAATCCTCTTTGTTTGCGTCTGGCTCTAATTCATAATGATTAGACCCAAAACATACCATCCAACAAGTCCCTGATTTTGTCCAAATAGACTTCAAAATATGAAACCTGCAAAGCAAAAGCTTCCAATCAGACTTAAACAACAATGACGTCTGCTTGACATTTAAAAGCGTCTGAGCCCCTGGTTGACATGTTAACATACTTTAATATGAAACTCCAGGTTCTGATCCATTGAATAAATGTAGTTGAAGATGTCTTGAACAATTCTGGGAATGACTCCCATCATGTCTGGGTCATGGAGTTTCCCCTTTAGGAGACAATTATATGAAAAAGTATAAATGAGACAGAAGGCTTTTCAGTCACTACTCTTAGTATTGTTGTCCAGTGGAAAATAACTGACACTTTATATTACCTCCATTGTGTGTGTTTTGCCAGAGGATGTCTGCCCGTAGGCAAATATGGTCCCATTGTAGCCATCCAGCACATCTGCAAGCATCAAGCCAAAGAAAACACACATTAAGTATTGAGGTTAAGGCGTGTATTTCCAGGGTTTCAGTGTGTCGAAGAATGAGAATACATCTGTATACTACTGTATGTATCTTACCTTTGACAATCTTCTGAGCCACAGCGTTGTAGAATTCCACCTGAGTTGTATTGGACTGGAACACACGGTCAAAGTAGTACGGTTTACCCTGTGAAGGAGAGGTGGCAGTGATGAGCACCAGAAACATGCCAATGTGAACTGACCCTTCCTAAGCCCCGCCCCTTTTGGAACCTCGGTCAACTTTCTCCTTTCCTGTACCTAGCTATGCTATGTGCTATCTAGCTAGTTAATCTACATCATTTGTTAGCTAGCTAGTAAGTTAGTGTTTTGCTAACATTAGTTATCAGATGTAACAAGCTGGTTAATGATTCATGTAGATTAGATTTGAATTGCTAACATGCAGTGAGCAGGGATGTGCCTGAAAAGGTAGTAGCTAGTTACTGGTAAAAAAAAATACTCCATTAAATCCTTCATTAATTGTAGCAGCATACATGTTGGCTACATGCTGAAATCTTTCTGTGGTCTGTTTTATGCTGAACATACAGAAAGACCTTTAAAGATTTGCATATCTGAAAATGTGTCCCTGAAATGTGGATTATACTGTAATATACTATTGCAGCTCTGCAGCATCATTTAAATTATGGGGAATAGAAAAAACTGTCCCCCTCTCCTAGAGGAGGTGACCATCAACTCACTGCTCTGCAGAGAGGCATGTTGGATTCATAATATGAACACAGCGCACAGAGCCCTTTGGAATTGATGAAGAACTGAATTTATCATCTTTTGGCACACTTGATGGATGTTTTTACTTTTTGTAATATTAAGAGAGGTCTGAGTTATTTTGTCTTTTTGTTCTGACAGGTGTAGGGGTGTGACACATGAACAGTGACAAGTCCCACCCTTGGAATCATTATACAATGGATTTTAAATCCTGTTCAATCGATTATCCAATGACAATTTTACACCTGGGCTCTGGTTCCTATGTCCTTTCCTAAACACTTTTCCTTGACCTCATGATGTCATCGAGGTCAAAACATTTATTAATAATGATCTGAACAGTGGAACACGTATTTCAGTAAATCCTCTGATGCCAGATCTGTACATAGAGCAGCACACTCACCGAAATGATCACACAGTCATCCCCTTGAAACTTCGGGATGTACTTGTCTCCCCGGGCCACCTCCGAGCTGTTCAGCGGCCTGAAACGGCACACCACCTTGATAGAGGTCTCCGCCGCGTCCGCCATCTCCGCCGCTGTGGCTGGATGGAGCGCTCCGTCCTCCCGTTACACAATCCAGCAGGCAGCCCAAGGGGAGGCCGCGCCCCTGACACTGAGGTTTGCTGACTGGGAAACTGTGTTAAAGTAGTCCTCAAAAAGTCCCACTAGAATGCCAACGTTGCACCTGAACCTGGCAGTAAGGCTGGACGTGAGGTGTCTTAGATATTTTGAAATATAGATATTAAATATGAATTTATACTATAATCTGTTTTGGTTTGTTTGTTACAAAAAACATAATTAGGTTGAAATCGCCCTTATTCTATTTACAAATGCTCTCATATCTCACGGTCAGCTGCACAAAAACATTTTTAAAATGAGGTAGAACTTAACAAGGAACAAAGTTGCAAGGCGTCCACTTTGATGCTCAGAATGAATAAAAATCCAGCTGTGATCAGGGTGGGACTAAAGAATGGACCACAGTCACATGAACAGTCACATGGAACTTCGGGATCTGACAAACTGGGATCACTGTAGTCTTTCTGCTTGCAGTGTGCAGAGGTCAAGGGCAGCTATAGATTTGAGAGCTGGTTTAATAGAAATACACAAGAGTTGTCAAGTGTTCCTCAGTGCAGTGCTCCATTACTGTAAACCAGACAGTGGAGGAGAGCAGATGTGAAATATTAATGCCTCTCCATTACATCAGATTATGTCTGCCTGTTCCTGCAAAATGCTTCATTGCACCTGAATCACTGTACCCAGAGCCGGTCCTGACCTCCCTGGGGCCCTAAGCAAAATATCTGCTACCTGACCCGTGAGCTGTGTAAACCATTTGCCTTTTCCACCAAACATCCCAGTGCTACAATCCTCCCTCCTTTAAAACAGTTTGCTCCATCTGTCTAAAAATTGATTTACATAGAGTAGAATGACATATAAACGAACAATATTTATTGAATAAAATATTTTCTATGGAATCTTTAGTGAATATTAACTCTAACATTGTAGAAAATATAAATGTATAAATGTATAAAATAACAAACAAAAAAAACTGAGCTTTGGCTCTGCTGCCTGGTAATTAGTCCAGTCCTCACAATATTATAACATTATCTTTTTTTTTATACAGTGTAAACAGAAGTCTATAGGCTCTGGCTGCAGCTTTAAGTCTCAGAATAGCTGCATTCAAAGTAGCTCCCCAACATTTCCTTTTATACATTTTTGTCAAATATTAAATATTTATACTATGGCTTGGCTGAATACTTGATGATTGTTATTTGCATGTGTATCCATATTGCCCAGTATGACCAGCTAATCAACATTTAAATTCAGTATTTAATCAATAGTTTGTGTCAATCCATTGCTTTCTATCTTGCATTACAGAGTTGTAAATAAACCTTGACTGACTTGTGTAGTAAGCATATAGGGCCGACCTCCTACCTGTAAAATGAACCTGATATTTCTGCTAACTACTGACTACATGCTGTATTTCAGTGGCTTACTTACCTGAAATAATGTCTGCCTTGCACACACACTTAGTGGACATTAAGTGTGTGTGCAAGGCACTTGTCTACATGCGCCTTTTCATACAACCAGTGGAAGTTGCCAGGCTATGATTTCATTACAGAATGAGCGTGTTGAAGACAGGCAGAGTGTGTTTCTGTTATTAGAATGTGGTGTGTGCATTGGCCCTGAGACTGAACAGCTATATAATCAGATGTAGCTTCTTTGAGAGGAAAATTACAGATCTGAACAAACTGTGTCGGCATTGTTGATGAGAAATAAAAAGTCCAAGCTAAATATGTCCACAGCCACACTTGAAAGAATGAGCTGAGAGAGCCTGATGATGAGGCTGTCACTCATCAGTGGGGAGAGAACTAACAGACCTCTGGTGCTGTCTGTGGCGCAACTGTGTTGACCGTGAGTGACTGCATAAATAAATCAGATAAATTGGAGATAACATACTATATACATATATATAAATGACAATGTGAAAACAAATCAATTGTTGCAGGTTTAAACTATTAATTATGTTTCCCTCCCCAGAATGCCTCATTACAAATTAGGTCAAGGAGCAAGGTTATTATAATTATATTGTGTACTAACAAAAAAAACAAAAACAAATAAACCAAAATAAACTAAACTAATGAAAACTATAAAATTATATCAACTCTGTCAAGGACTTGCCAAAACAAGCAATAATAATACTTTATGAATCACTGTTAAACTTAATGCCAAAAAACAACAACAACCAAACACAAGAGAGGTCTAATGGGCCGACCAAAATAAAAACTAGGACCGTATGATCTGAGTTCTTTCTGTCTACCCTAAAGCAACCTTAAATTAACTAAACCTAATAAACACAAATAATGCCATGAAAACAGGAATAAAACATCTAATGTTTCTAAATGGGAGGGTGTGAGTGGCAAAAAGACTTTCTGGTGCCTCGGGGCAACAGTATGCAGAAGAAGGTGTAGCATAAAGCAGCCAGCAGGGGTCAGCAGAGGCATTCAATACATTGTGTGCAGCCAAGGAGGAGCTGAAGGACTCCTGTATGTCCTCCCATCAACAATATTACAGTTGAAACTTGACACAAACCATCTCTGAGCAATAGCAGGATTTTTTTTGTATTGTCTGTATGTCTTTCCTCTCACACAATTTGAAAGCAGTGACAGGGTTTAGTTGGGATATTAATTTTATAACATGTCACCAAAAGATAGCCTTTATTATTGTAAATATAAAAATGAAATTAGAGTCATTATGGATGTACATTTTTTTATTCCATAGAAACTGCAGCATTAGACAAGTGCTGAAGCCGTAAACCATGTTGCAGACACACGCACACACACTAAATCACACTTTTCCCCCCCCACTTTCACACACACACACCCACATTCAACCGATGCCGAGCACTGGTGCAGTGAGACGAGACAGTAAAACACTGAGTCAGGAGTAACACAGTCAATCAAAAAAGAAAAAACAGGATGGGAGGGGTCATTTAACGGAAGTGCACCATCACAGCACGCAGAGAACTCAGAGGGGCTTTTACTTTTGTGACACCGACTGACCTCCTAAAAATGGCGTATTGTCCTTAACGGATAGAAAATATAAATTATTACTACAGTAAGTACATTCTCTAGATTAAGAGCCATAAATATGCGTTTGAGAGCTCAAATTACAGTATGTACAGAGGTCCATGCGTCCACAATATACATACAGAACAATAAATATCGGATATAGTCACAATACAGCATCCAGGTGGATATTTGTTTTTCTTTGAACAGGTTAAAGGTACAGCAAGACATGGCAGGAGTCAGCATTCATAAACCAGCTGAGGAAAGGCATTCACAACTGGTATCTGTCTGTTATTAGTTTTTATTAAAGGGGTTGCCTTGGTTACTTTTGTCCTGGCTCCAAAAAGCATGTGAAGAGGAGAGGAGAGGAGAGGAGAGGAGAGGAGAGGAGAGGAGAGGAGAGGAAATGTTTTTGGGGGAAGAAGCACCAGTGAGCTTGTACTCCAGGCTTCAACCTGACTCACAATAAAAAGAAAAAGAGAGAGGGGGAAAGAGGGAGATTGAGTGAAAAAAGAGACTGATGAGAGAAAAATGTGAGATGACAGATCAATCACAACCCCTGTTAAGAGTTCATCCTTTGACCAGTCAGTCAGAAAAGGAGGGGAAAGAAAAAGAGGTGTGTAGACATATGGAGGAGTGAGGGTAGTGTGTTGCTGTGTGAGTGAAAATGAAAGAGAGGGGGAAAAAAAAAGACAGGACCTAGTTTTGGCAACGTGGCTCCAGTTGCTAAGTAACGGTCTCTGAGGGCAGAAGAAGCATTTCTTTGAGGGTGTTCGTCTCCAAAATGAACAATTTTCACCCTATCCCTCCTCTACCTCTACGTCCACCTCCGCCCTCCCCTCCCCTCTGTAAGAGAAAGCCTTTCCTGAGCGGTTTGCGAACGCTGGCACAGCGAGAACAAGCAATTCATAGTCACGACTTGTCGGCAAACAAGGCAGTCAAAGTGCAAAGTTGGAACTGGATACCTCCTGTGTTATTTTTCTGCAATGTCCTTTTTCTGAAGCACAGAGCTGGTTTGTCCTTAACAGGCCACAAGCAACAAGCTAATGCTAACAAATAATTAAATTCTTGGCAACAAAATATCTACATCAGTACAGAAAGCACAGCATTTGTACTATGGGACACATGAGAGAACAAGCTGCACCGTCCACACTGTTGATGATACATCACCTGGACATCAATTTGATGTCTAAATTATTCAATATGCAATGAAAAATAAAATATTAAGCAATTCAACATTTGAAAGAAAACATAAGAGAATCAGTCGTTTGATGCTGCGGAATAATTTTGAAAATGTATGAAATCTGCACACTACTGTATCAGCTCATTAAAATTCCACTCATTAAATATTCAGTGCTTAAGAACCCAGATATTGCCTCATCTGTTTCAGACTGCTGCCCACTGCAACTTCATGCAGAGGCGAGTGTGAATCTAGCTGGGGTTGATCACTAAAAAGCCTGTGCAGATGTTTCACTAATAAGCAGTAAAGGGCTGTGTTATTGTGCCTGCATCACTATCATTATCAGCATCACACCACAGAAAGGGTCAATTAAATTCCCGGGCTTTTGTGTTTCAGTGTTTTGCCAAGTCCTGGCTGAAATGAAAAGTCTGGTCTTGTGATGTTCCTAATTTAAAGCAGATGCTAATGGAACATTTAGCACAGAGTATGGGCAGCTGGCTGTTGATGGGTCTGCTGAGCTATTTAATTGTGTCTCCATGGAGGAGGACGGGTTTCTGTGGACATGGACAAAAATTGAGAGCAAATCCAAATTTCAGACACTTGAAAGAACTCAAGAAGGTTAAGCTGATATTATGAACCACTGTTGGTTCTTAATGACCTAAACGTAACCCTCCGGGACACTAAATATAGTTAATTCAATCTTAGCATGAGACCCAAACTGATTTAAACATACTGGGTCTATTGTGCAAGGATCCTCACACACAGAAACCAAAACCTGTGCAATCCTGCGTAATGAAACACTGTGAGCTAAGTTGCCATGGTCCAATTATTAGGAGACAAAAGGGAAGAAACAGGAGCAGGTAAAATATTGAGTGTAATTAAAGCTGAGTTTAACTACTAGTGTGTTTCTTTGGAGGCTGGATGAATTTCTGTAGCTTAGTGAGCAAGAGCAAGCTTATCATTTTGTTGCATTTACCCTCCAGAATCTTTCAAATAACCCCATACTGAGAACAGAACTAGTGCAACAAGTATGCAGAAGATGGCTGTCATGGCTGCATCTAGAATGTTCAAATATGATAACAAGGTAACACTTTGTTTTACAACTCTGTAAATTTCTAATAATTTCCAATTGTCTAGTAAGTTTCCTGGAAGAAGAACAGTGTCATTTGAACCTTGGTCAGCTTTCTCCTTTCCTGTACTTAGATATGCTATGTGCTAAGCTCATCTATGTTTAAAAGCCAACCACAGATGCTTGAAGATGCTTAAAAGTTAAAAGCAACATAAATATAGTCACATGTTAGCTAATGTTAGCAAAATGCTAGCTAACCAGCTAAACTAGCCTAGCACATAGCATATCTAAGTACGCTACAAGAAAAGAGAAAGTTGACCGAGGCTTGCTCAACTGTTATTGGAGAGCAGAGCAAAAAGGGGCGGTACTTAAAAAGGGTTCATTATAGGAAAAATGATCAGTTGGTACACTTGACAAACTGACAAACATACAATTTAACATATACGAAGAATACATTTTCCAAGTGAATGATTAATATTTAGTTCAAGGACCTTTCTCCAAAAATCAAAGAAACTCAATTGAATTTACTAACAATCTCACAATTTTGTCTTTATTTCAACTGTAATTAGCACCAAATCACATTGTACTTCCAGGAAACTTTCAATAAATCATTAATCATCAAGTGGTACTAATAACTATGGCATGAAATGGATCCTATTGGTGAAGCTACTGGAAACAAATAATTAACCTTCAGTTTGTTTTGTGTAACCCTAAATCAAAATGGTATGGCCTTCCTTCTGTGGAAGGCAATGTATTCGACCTTGGTGGACAGAACCATTCTCAGGGTTTAAGGGGGATTATCTTCTTGTCAAGCATTTCCAGTCAGCTTAACTTGCTGTCATCACAGAGCAATACACGTACAAATGATATAGTTGTAAGAGACCATCAGTTGCATGTTTTCTATCCTAATTGTATATGCAGGTTTAAACTCTGGTCTCTCACCTTAGATTCCCTGTGCACATTTATCAGTTAACCATTGGGAGATAATTTACATCCAGACTTAACAGCCAAGGCACAGTACAGAGCCATAAATTAGACAGTAATAAAGTGTGTTTACAGGCCTGACGAGGGAATGAAAACTATCTGATGACAAATAAATAGTTGCTTAAACTTGAATTCAAGTTTTAAGCCTGACATTAATTGAGGCCTCCACTCTCATAAATCCTCAGCTCACGATGCTGCCACTTTGAGCTAAATAAGAACAGGGAATTCCAATGAACATCTTGTCTAAGTTTAAATCAGGCATTCGTATTATGAAAACTGTTATCAGACAAAGGGGGAAAGTCTATATGCAGATGTGATAATACACAAGGGGCAAAAATCGAGTTATCTTACATAGTGATAGCTTATCAGTGTTGGCATTTACAGACAGATTAGTTAACATGGGTGTTTTTTTCCCTAAAATTGTAACTTCAGTAAATTTTATGTAGCTGATCACACTGCACCATGGGTTGTAATGCGACACATTATATCAAAACACTAAACAATAAAAGCAACTGTTGATTTTACATATCAGAGCTTGCACTGGATGACAGTGTGGTTATGCTGGATTATGATTGTGAAGACTTATGATGCATTTTAAGAGCAAACATAAAGCTTTTTCATAACAGTGTTCAGAGAAGAGTATTTTGGTCAATAATTCATAGATGGGGAACTAGAAGAAGCTGAACGCTCCAAGGCCTCAGTCTGCTGTTAATCTCCCAAATACACTGCAGGTCTGTCCACAAAACTTCAACAGCAAAAACAAAGAATAAATACCTTAACACTCATCGAAACATGTTCCAGTTCCTTGGTTTTTACAAATAAAATACATACAGTACTTGTTTATTTCTTTAGACAGATGCGTATTGTTGTTTTATAATATTTTTATATGTACATTTTCAGTAGTTGTTGTTACATAGATAGTATTTCAGCACAGTTTAAGAACTTGAAACCACACAGGGGAACAGAGATGCATCAAAAAAATCAATCTTTTGGCTTGTAGGTCAGTGTTGTTCTTTCACCTGCATTTAGTAATACCAAACCTTAAGTCAAACTGTATTTGCAAATACTTTCTTATGATTTTTTTTAGCTTTCTTACATGATTGACGGATAGTAAAGTGAGTAGTTAGAGTCTGGCTGCACTGAAGTTCTGAAGGCCAGTTGCACTCATAATGCATGTAAATTATGCCTTACAGGATATGGGTGGTGATGTTCTATATTTTTCTTACTAGAGCACCAAATGTGGATTAGTGAACAGCTGAAAATAGTCCCTAACAAACAAGCTCTGTTCACTCCTGTTTGAGTAGCATAACCTAAAAAATACTGTGCTCAGCTGTTTTGTGGAAACTGGTCTTTGTTTAAATTAAAGCTATATAGTTGTTACATGCTTTTAAATGTAACACTTTAGCAAATATTTGACAATTTACACATGCAGCAGACAAGTCACAATCCAATAGTCATTCTCTTTTAGCTCAGTGGAAAAAACAGCTCTTTAGTTGTGAATTGCTCTATTATATTTACTGACTAATCGCTAATTTTGTCTGTCTGTCCGCCTTTGGTGCTGTCGTGGCTGCAAACGAGGCTGATTAGAGCAGTGAGACTGAACCAAAACAGCGAAGTTGTCGGCGATGAAACCAAAACAATGCGCTGAAACATGCTAAAATGCTACGTAGAGATGTGGGAAATTCTTTGTGGGTTCATCGCAACACCTTTCATATTAAACACTAACCATTGTCATTGTTATTCAAACATTGTTATTAAAAATCATATTGACTGATGCTGCTTTAATGATTACATCTTCAATAAGAATGAATCAATGGGCTTGGGGCTGAGTAGGGTAGTCAAAATGTGTTGAGAGATAAATTAACGCGTTAATAATACAGAATAACACCAGCCTTAATATTTCACACCTCTAACAGAAATGGAAAAGGATGCTAATCTATTCCACTATCGACCACACCACACTGTGCTGCACAGTTATTTAGTTTATTTAGTTTTGCCGTCTTACTGTACATATGGGTCTAAACTGAACTTGATGCATACTGACAAACCTGCATTTCACTGTGCATGGTAAAGAAGCTTTATAAAGCATGCTAAATGCTAAATCACGGTGGGTTGATGCAGGTGTGACCCATTGCATTGCGATATGAGGATAAAACCCCCACATTGCTCAGAAGACTATTAATATCCACAGTTAAGGCTCAGTACAGATATGCTCACATCACACAGAATTCTGTGTATTTCATGGCCATGCTTCATGAAAACTAGAAAAAGCATGAAATAAATAAAACAAACAGCAAAAGTATCATTGTACTGGCTTCTCATACAGGACTCGCAAACAGATGCACAGGCTACTCTAACTGCATAAAGGCATACCATAGAGTATTTTAACCCTTTACCCCAGGCTGGAAGATAAAAGTATCTGTGCTGCAGACTACAACCTGGATATATTGCATACATAAAGCAGAAGGTAAACCCTTCCGAAAAGCCCACCAGCCAAACCATTGATTTCTTTTCTCTCTTGTTTCACACATACGGATAAAGCCTACAGAGCAGACAGAAGCTATCAAGCACGCTGATTTTTTTTAAACATTCACCAGCTAAAACTAACAAGTCCTTCGGATTACAGCAACAATACAACGGCACAGTTTTAACTGAGAGGACTATCGTTCTTCCTTGGCTGTCCTCGTTTGGACCCACAGTGTAAGGTGTTGTCTTCCAGACCCAGTCATATAGAAGAGAAGCTAAGAGGCGCAATACCATTATGGTTAAGCAGAACACAGTAGCATTAGTTTCACTCCCTGATCTGCCTCCATTGTACGACTATATCTTGAATCAGTTTGATTTACAATCTCCCTGGAAGGACTGAAGTCTTCTGTCAAAATGGAAAACAACAGGAAAGGCTTCCTTATAAATAAAGGTTTGATTATTGATCGCATTGCTTTTCCTCTACTGCTGAGGCAGGGTATTGGGAAACCATAACTGTATCATAGTGGTGTAACCTTGCTGTCTGTAACAGTAACAATACAGATTTGACAGTATTAAAATGAGTGAACCCGGTAGCTGTATGAATGAAGTTCCAACAACAACAAGGCCTTTGCATTGCAACCTCCAATTCTATTTTAAAATGGTCAGCACATCAGCCGGATGTTAACAGTATAGTGACATCCTACTCCGCCGCATGGCCTCACTGATCAAATAGGCTGGGCTGATCTCCGGTTCCTCCGTCATCACCACAATTTTCTGCCACTCTCCACACTGGTTGGATTTCTTGATGGTATCCACCACGCAAAGAGCATAAAGACAGTCCTCAAAGGTAGCAGCCATTGTCAGAGGCCTCCCATCCCATGTCCTCCTGTCGTCTTGGTCCTGAAAGGCCTGCCGCACAGCCTGGATCATGCGGATCGTTCCGGTGAGATACGGTGACGGAATGTCACTGAAGGCCTTCTCCGGTAAGGAAGCCTTCTCCAGAGGTGTTGTGTCTTTAAGCAGGAGTTCAGGACCTCCCCCGCTTCCTCCACCCCCACTGTTCTTCTGTCCGTACAGGTCCGTCCCAATGACCGTTAACCTTCCCACCGTCCCCACAACAATCACCTCCTGCCGAAACTCTCCGGGCACGTTGAAGTTGAGTGTGACGGTGCAGCAGGCTCCTCCTTCCAGTACCATCTGGAACGTGCAGAAGTCGTCGCTGGTGATCTGACGGATACCCCGGATGTGATCTGTTTGTTTGACAAAGGTTTTGAGGAAGCCATGGACTTTTGCTGCACGCTGACCGGTCAAAAACGTAAGCAGGTCGATGATGTAACTGCCCACCGAATGCAGACCACCGCCTCCCATCAAGTCATCGCAACTCCAGTTGTATTTCTTCCCCAGGAGACTACCGCTGTGGACCTTTAGGGCAAAGAGAAGACATTTTTTGATAGTGTATTAGGTCTTTTTTCATTTGAATGTGATCAGGACAACCAAAGAAAAAACATGAAACTGTTGGGGTACAGTTGGGACGGTCACTAATTCCTTGCCAGCTCAATCAGTGCTGTTCTAACTCAAACTAACCTCAAAAGAAAGTATTACATTGTTGTCATTGTTATAAATGGCAAGGAAGCAACTGAAAAATTTCAATTTCATTCATAGTTTTTGTCGTACCTGGGCCTCACAGACCAGAAGCTCCCCGATGTACCCTTCCTCTAACAACTCCTTCATCCGCACAAAGGCTGGCAAGAAACGTAGCACATTTCCCATAATGCTCAGCAACTTGGGGTAGTACTGGGCTGCTGACATCATTCGAAAGGCATCCAGAGGCGTTGCTGTCCGGTCGCAGATGACGTTCTTTCCAATACCTTATAAAAGACAGGAGAGACAGTTGGGAATGAGCCAAGTTAACTTTTGGTGTACAATTTCAGTGTTTTGACAGTACTGTTTCTTGCTCTACTTTCAGTGTAAAGATGAAGAAAGGAACGAGAGAGAGAAGTAATGTAGTCAGCCTTAGCAACACTCGCAGACATAATATCCTCTTGAGCATAAAAACATCCCCTGAAAAAACAATGCAGAGCTAAAAAATGTGGTAACTTCCAGAATAGCTGACTCAAGAGTTCCTAAAACTATCTGGGCTTTCTCCTCTGAGTCATGGGAACTGTATAACAGAAGAGGGTTCTTAAAAGAAGAACATACATGTACTGTACGTAGCAGGAGTCTGTGGGCCTCCTCTGAGACAAAGCTTGTCTCCTGACTCCCTTTAGTTTACTTGCTTAGTTTCACTCAATTCTGCCTTTGGGATCACCATTATGGTATTTGATCCTATAGACACTCAACAATTGAGTCAAGATGGCCAAATAGTGCAATTCTGATGCAACTTCAGACAACACCAAATATACAGACAATTATTAGTTACTGAATCTGGAAACATTTGAAAATAACTATATCTTGAACCAAATCACGCAACTATTCTATGTAATCTTCTTTTAACTAATGTAATAACTAATATAATATTTTTTTACTTCCATTCACCGAGCCACTGTCTGGAACCCCAGTGATTAAGAAGGGCTTTAATGTTGGCAAGCATGCAAGAAGTTGCAGTCATACCTGTGTGGTATACGGCAAGACTGCAGAGCCCAGACAGTTCATAGAGGCTTTGCTGGTATTACCGGAGGACTGATGGAAGGCTGATAAAAAGACGAGCACAGAAGGTGCAGAAGAGACGGAGAAGGAGGAGAGAGAGAGGCTGTAGACACAGTGTGAAACCTAATTAAAATCTCTTTCAGCACATTAAAAGGTCCACTGGTGCCAGCAACACCCAAACACAACTGTGAGAAGACAGACAGAAACACTTTTCTGTTATGACATTTCCTTTTTACTGGACAGTCAATTGGATGGAGACAGATGGGAGCCAGTGAATGGCATGCAAAATATAAAAAGGATTTGAACCTGACCCTGCGCTGTCATAGAAACATATTATTTTTGTTAGGAACAGATCATTTTCATTATTGATTAATCTGTTGATTACTTTTTCCGTTTACTGATTAATAATTCAGGCTCTACATTGTCAGTTTATACAGAAATGTCTAACACAGTTGCCCAATTTCAGGAATTCTTAGGTTCTTCAAAAGGAAGGAGTATAATATAACAATATGCAAACGTGTTAATATTACAGCCTAGCACAGAAGACAGAAAACCTTTTCTGACTTTGTAATGAGACCGACCACCCCATGTGCATATGCTGAATCATTGCCAGTATTGATGAAGACATGCTTTTATGCATCAAAGTTGTCCAAATTTGAGTAATTATAGATTTTCTCCAAACAACAGTTTATGAGAGCAGTAACTGTGGCCACAAGTGACATTTACGGGAGAGGTAAATGCTAAAATGCAGTGTAATAGTAGCACAAGTAGAGAAGAGTCATAAAGTTAGCAAACTTTCAGTAGCGTCCATTACACAGCAATATCTACTTTGAGTTTGCTAACATTAGCCAAAATTAGCCCATCTATGAGCCTGTCCACTGCATGGGTGCAAGTCTTTCCTTAGTAAAACTGTCAAATCTGCCACTGTGGTTGGTGAGAACCTGAGTCATGGCCCATTCCAAATTCCAAATGCTAACTTGAACCAGCCACACAAAGGTGAGATTTATGCTTTATCTGAACTGTTTTCAAAGTGTATGCTTTGGTTTTATGAGAGGAGGTTTTAAGGATGAAGAATATTGGGTGTAGCAAATGTGAATATGTGAATTTACTGAATTAAGCAAGGGCACATTTGTATTCATTCATTTGTAAGATTAAGAATGTATTAATTGCTCTTTCAAAAGTCAGTTCTGAAAACACATGACTGAATAAAGGGATATTTGTTGGCTAAACCTCTCAGCTATCTTACTACACCTGAGGGATTTATTTTGACTAATGTTCCATCTAGATGTTCTTCACACTTCAGCCGCCGATAGCACACAATGTCCTCTAATGGCTACAGTCACACATTGTCAGCATGGAGCCAGACAAAAATTATATATGCACACAATATAGGCGGATCACTCTAAACATACATTCCTCAAGCCCCTGGAGTGTGAATGCAGCATGCTGCTTCACTTGCAGTCCTGGCTGAGAGTTGTGGGTGGAGGGGCCGTTTTGGAAGTGAAACTTCCCATGCTAATCTGCCATTAGCTTCCATCGGCCAGGGCAGGAAATTAATCCCTCTGACCCAGTTCTGAGGAGCGCCCTGGGAGCCCCCACCCATCACCCAACCCCTGCAGAGAAACAAAGCCAAGCAACAACAGTGCACCCCCGTCCCCTTCTTTTTGGCAGTAACATACACAAGAACAGATACTGGAAAGATGCACTGTCCTGGGTATGGCCCTTCTGGGTAAATGCTAAATGTTTTTGAGTGCTTTTTTGGCACTCACATTGACCTCAATGTCTTTACAGAACAATAGCTTGGCTAGCTACTAAAACGCCTAAAGGCAGATCTCACTTGATTTCACCCACAGCTATTCTTTTCATGATTTGGCCAAAATATATACATAGTCTCTAAAGCAAGTTATTGAAGCTATAACGCTAAAGTCAGAGATAACGGAACTTAAGGCTTCTAATGCAGTGTCATTCCAACTCATGACTGCACCAACCTGTCACCTCAGGCTCTTAATGTCACCTTTATGGAGATAAAAACAGCTCCTCTTCTTCAGATCAACAATGACCTTTCGTTCCTTGCACACAAAGCTCCAAAAGGTCAAGCCTGGCTTAGACAGGTCAGTCTGTTGAGTCATCAGAGCTACTACTCAGCCACAGCCTCCCTTAGACAGTGAGAGGATGTTGTGTGTGCATGTGTCCAAAAGATTATGGATGCACCTGAGCACAGCAGCCACTGCACTAAACCAACTGTTGGCAGATGAAATGACATTGGATCAAAGTGACATTTGGTAGCGCACAGCAGAGAGGAGGAGCAGAGAACAGAGATGAGAGAAAAATAAAAAAGGGGAAGGAGACGAGCTTGAACTGAGAGAAAGGGGTGAAATAAAAATAGAGAGATCATAAAGGAAGGGAAAAAGTGGCACACAAGAGCATCTGCCCATCTGTCAAACAGTTCATGCAGAAAAGGCTTTGAGAGACAGGATGCCATAAAGAGAGACAGTGTATGTGTGTCAAGCGATGCTCCCGTAACCTTTCCCTCCCCACACACTCACGCAGCTGTTCCCATAAGATGACTGCTTGACACAAATGAAGAAGCGATAGTCCCAAAAAAAAAAAATACAAGATGTTGCAGTGCAGAGAGGCAACATGTCCATACTCTATGTCATCACCACTACAGCTAGGATCAGAGTCAGAACATCCAAGTCTGATGCCATGGTACTCTGAGGGTGAGTTGCTCCACAAATTCTGGTTAACAGAGGGAAAGATAAAATACGGGATCAACAGGTGGATGGCTGCAGTGTCAGCGGCAATGTAGAACACGTATCAGACGGTCAGGGTGAAAAAGGAAGCTGAAGGTTACAATTTTCTGGTCGATCAATATTGCAACCCGTTGGTCATGAGCTTTGTGGAGTGAAAGAACAAGATAGCAGATGCGAGTTGCCGAAATGAGTTTCCTTTACAGGTGGCCAGGGCAAGCCTAAAAGCATCTGTTTGCTGCAGTCGAAGGAGAAGTTAGGATGAAGGATGTCTACTGCCCCAGTATTGGTTGTATTAACACCAGTCCCAGTCATATTCCTGGGTATTGGTGCTAGTAACTGTTAGGTGTACAGTATGCTATATACCAAAATGTCTAAATAGAAGACTTAAACCAGACGTTGGTAATTAAACAGATGAAAGCATTGCTTTCCAACTCCTTTGTCTTTATCAAGAAATAAGGTTAATTTCCAACATAAAAAACTGCATGTCTGAGTAAAGCTGAATACACTAATAGTAAGGCTTGTGTTATTTAGACCAGTGTCAACAGATACAGCTATAATTTGAAAACCTGACACTGGTGGCCGGGTTAGTGAAATAGGTACAGTAACTATGTGATAGTGAGGGCAAAGTGGAGCTCAACTTGCAGGTAAAGCTTGGGCCCAGTGGGAGAGCAGTAATGGAGCAGAAAAAAACTCCACAGCAGCTCAGTCCCCCAACATCAATTATTAATATACAGGACATATCTAACCAAGAGACTTTAAAGACAGAGAGATCCTGCAGATATTATGCAAGTATTACAGCAGAATAACAGGTTACAAAAGGAAAATGGATCCAAATGTATAGCATGGACTTTTGGCATGACCCATGCTTTGGCATGTTATATCCAACCACAGGTCATATACATCACTCTCTGCTTTCTAAGATTAGAAGAATTGCTTCCCTCAGCAGTGGTGAATGGTGGCAGCCTGCTTGCCTTCAGGTGCCTTCAGGTGCCTTTGATGTGCAGACTACTGACATCCTGTCAGAGAGAATCAGCTACCCTCACAGACTGAAATCACATCCTGTCGTCTCACAGACCTGAGGCATAAAACTCTTCAAACAGATACAAACGCAAGTGGTTAACATAGCTGTGTGTTGTCACGAACACTAAGGCCCTTCTTAGTAACAGTAAAGCACAAACACACTCAGCAGCAGGGGAACATCATCAGCATCTCTTTTCTCATTATTACTTAATCATTTGCTAGCACATATTCTGCTAATGATCACCTACTGAAAAACGAAAATTAATTCCTTAATCTCGTTAAAGAGACAGGAGAATGAGAGGGAAGAGAGCCAATATAATTAATTGGATGGAACAGGTGACTCACTGAATCTGCATTAAATGTGCCATGTGCAGCATTTTCACATCATTACAGCATTAAGTATCAGCTATTGTACAGTAACTTTAAACAGAAGAGACCGCTGCCAAGAG